GTGGAACTATTTAAGCCTTTTCTGCTACACGTCCCCTCCACTGCCCGTCCCACCATTGTCGGTCAGACCTTCAGCTTTTCTGCCCAAACTCCCTGGAACTTGCCCCTTCCTTTGCTTCCTTCAAAATCCGCCTTGAGACAGTCCTCATTGACTGCACCTTCAGTCATTTTCCAAACTCCCCCGAATCCAACCCCCAGCTCGGTGCAAACCCTCGACTGTCCAGCGCCTTGGGACGTCTTCCCAACGTGAAGAAAACGCTGTATAAATGCAGTGGGTTCTATTTTATTGTTGTTGTTACTTAACAACAATTTGTTGTGATGCAACAGAACACTGTGACTGCAGCACTACTCATCTTTAGTGGATCAAATAGGTGAACAAAAAAGAAACAAGCTCCTTGCTCTGCTAATTTGAACTCATTACATTCACAAGAAGTTATTTTAGTAAAAATAATGTGAAGCATAAAATAATTGTTTGATTTTGACATTGAGAAATAAATGCACAAAATACATACTGGTTATAGGGAGTCTAATCATTCCTGGGAAGAAGACTTAGCTGTTGTGGACTGGCTGCAGATATACTTTAATNAAAAAAATGCACCATCATCATGTTTCAAGGTAGATGCGGTAAATAATCCTAATAATCATTGCATTTGATATAGTGCCTTTCATATTGGAAGGATTTCACAAGATGCTTCACATGATTTATTGTAAAGTTTATTCACTGTATATTTGTGGGCAAATGTGGCAGCTAAAAAATTGCATACAGCAATATCCATCGAACAGCCATGAAGTGAATCTGAGGGATTTCTGGCTTGGACACCAGGAGAAACTCCCTTCTCTTTTAGAAAACTACCACAGGAATCTTCAATGTCCACCTGAAACCCAACCTACATAGTATATTAGAAACAAAATGTAGCCACTATGAACATCTTTGTATTTCCTCCATAATCCGTTTATTTCTGAAAAACAATTCTATAAAAGGTTGAGCCGTTTGTTTCACTTCCAAACAATGGGTCATTTTCTACTGCATGTGATTCAGTTGCCTCAAATGCCATCACATTTGGCAAACTGGGGGCACTATGAGAAAATCCAGTGATCACAAAAACTAATTTACAGATTGATATATTCTATCATATTCTATTTAGTTGTACTTAGATTTACTTAATTACTCAGACGTTATGGGCTCTAGCCCCATGTGAGGAATTTGATCCCACAGCCCAGGCTGATAATCCCAATAGAGTGCTGAGGAATGAATGTAATATCCTTCATATGATGTTAATTTAAGGGACCGTCTGTATTTTGAGGTGAATGTTAAAGATCCCATGACACGATTCGAAAAGTGATGAATGTCTTGGCCAACATTCATTCCCCGGATTGGTCATTCACTTCATAGAATGATAGAAATCTGCAGTGCAGAAGGAGACCATTCGACCCATTGAGTCCATACCAGTTCTCAGAAAAAGATCGATTTAATCTTATTGTCCTGTTTTATAATAATAAATAATAATAATCCTTGCATTTCCTTGCGTGGAGTCCTGTAGCTCAGTGGTTAGAGCACTCGCTTTGCAAGCGAGAGACCTGAGTTCAATTCCAGGCAGGTCAGGGCGAGACCTTGGGCAAGTTTCCTTACTCCATACGCCTAATAATAATCCCTCCAAAAACAATAATAAATTGGTCATTTTCAATCTATGACTGTTTGTGGGACATTGCTGTGCGCAATTGGCTGCCGCATTCGCCCACAAATATACAGTCAATTCACTTTACAGTGTGTTCTGTGAAGCGCTTTGGGACGTCCTCCCGACGTGAAAAGCGCTATATCAAATGCAAAGATTATTATTATTATTTCACATCGTGGTTGTTGAGACATTTCAAAGCACTTCAAAATCATATATTGAAGGTGAGTGACTGTGTATTTTGTGAGCAAAATGTAATCCCCGAATCTCTCTCTTTCCCGCCTCTTGAAATATGCCTCCCCCCTCGAGGGCCACAATAGACTCTGTCTCCAGCCCCTCCTCAGCAGGGCATTCCACATTCCAACAACTCTACGTAAAATATTTCTTCAAAGCTCTCCTTTCACTGTTTATGGCTCCTGTAACTATGTCCCTCATAACAACAATTTGGATTTATATAGTGCCCCTCATGCTGGGTAGTGTGCCAGAGTGCATAACTTAAGAGAATTGACTCCTCTGTCAATGACAGTCAAAACCCCTCACAATTTTGTACTCTTGTATCAGATCTGCTCCATTGAAAATAGACCCAATTTCTCCAAACTAACCTCCTGAGCCCTTCATCCCCAGAATAGTCTTTACAGTATGTTTGTGGACGACACACAAATCCACTTTGCCTCCTCCAGTATTGTCTCCAGTTCCGCTGAAGTTCTATCAGCTTGTCTGGTAGACATCAGGGCCTGGATGAGTACAAACGTCCTGCAGCTGAACGTGGTCAAGATGGAAGCCATACTCCTTGGCTCCCGTCTACGTCTTCATTCCTGTGGATCTGAATTCCTCAACATCCCTGGGCTCTCCCTCAGATTCATCAAACCAGTGCGTAATCTAGGCGTCCAGTTCGACCCCCAGCTGTCCTTCCTTCCCCATATCCAGTCCCTGACCAGGACTGCCTTCCTACACGTCCGCTACATTACCCGCCTTCAACTGTATCTTAACCCAAATGCAGCCAAAACCCTCGTACATGCGTTTGTCACCTCCTGCCTGGATGACTCAAACGCTGACTCCTCACTGGTCTCCCCAGCTCCGCTATTCAAAAAATCCAGCTCATTCAGAGCTCTGCTGCCCGTTTACTTACCTGGATCAAACTCCATAGCCCCATCTCACCAGTTCTAGCCAGACTCCCCATCACCAAGTGGATCGACTTCAAGATCCTCACACTCATGTTCAAATCTCTTCACTTCTTGGCACCTCCCTACCTCTCCGACCTCCTCACTCCCCAATCCACTACCCAGCTTCTCCGCTCAACTGGTATCGGCCTCCTGCCTGTCCCTCGCACCCTCCACTCCACCATTGGAGGTCGTGCATTGAGCCACTGTGCCCCGAAACTCTGGAACACTCTCCGTCAATCTCTCCACCTTGCCCGCTCTCTCAAGTCCTGCCTGAAAACCTTCCTTTATGACTGTGCTTACGGTCACTTCCCCCCACCAGCTCGGAGTCAGGCTCCGCCACTGTTAAGCGCTCTGAGACGCTATCTTGCATGGAGGGCGCTATATAAGTGTAAGTTATTGTTGTTGTATGTCCTGTGATGTGCTTTGTAAAGTCTCAACGATGGGATAAGGCACTATATCAAATGCAAGGATTATTTATTATTATTAACATCTATCAGGTGCCCAAAACTGGATGCTGTCCTTCAATTGCGGCCTAACCAATAATTTGTACAACCTTAGTAATATTGTTTTACTGTTGTACTCTATGCCACCATGTATAAAACCTAGCATGCTATTAGCTTTCTTTGCTACCTTTATCATTTGCAATGCCACTTTCAATGTCTTATGTACCTACATTCCCAAATCTCCTTGGAGTTTGTGACTGTTTGTGAGACATTGCTGTGCACAAACTGGCTGTCGTGTTCACCAACGACAGTCACTACACTTTGCAGGAAAATCTCGTGAAGCACTTCGGAACATGTCAATGTGAAACGGCACAATATCAAATGTAAAGATTATTATAGCAATGTTTGAAAATATTTGATTTACCAATTGTGGTTTAAACAGAATAGGTGGTGAAAAGCCATGATGCAATTTGTATAGAGATCATATGTCTGTTTATTGCCCTCTTGAAAGCCGCAATGGACTTTGACCACAGGTAATAAAAAATGTCAATTGCAAGGATTATTATTTGATGTAGCTCATTATCACAGAGACATCTCAAAGCGCTTCACAGAATATACAAATATTTTCAACCGTTACTATGTGAATTGACTGTATACTTTGTGGGCGAAACGCAGCAGCCAATTGCGCACAACAGTGTCCATCCCACAAATAGTTGTGGATTGAGTGATCAAATTATTTATTTTTTTGGAAGGGATTATTACCCCTGGAAAAGCCACCAATCGACTAACAACTGGGCTCCTACTTACTGCTAGGTAAACAGAGGCAGGTGAAGTAAGGAAACTTGCCAATGCTTCACCCGGCCTGGGAATCAAACCCAGGTCCTCTCGTTTGGAGGCGAATGCTCTATTACCACTGAGCTATAGGAAGGCAGATTTTGAACTTCGTGAGTTATCAAGTCAGTCCAGGGCTCTCGACCATCCACCCCGCCCTGACCCCAGCCCCAGTCAAATATGCACTAATATTTTGTGATGCAAGTGATCCTCCAGCATGAGTAGCTGCAGGTTATGAATTTACAGGACTTGTGGAGTCCTGTAGCTCAGTGGTTAAAGCACTCGCTTTGCAAGTGAGAGACCCGAGTTCAATTCCAGGCAGGGCGAAACCTTGGGCAAGTTTCCTTACTCCACACGCCTAATAATAATCCCTCCAAAACCAAAAACAATAATAAATTGGTCATTTTCAATCCACGACTGTTTGTGGGACATTGCTGTGCGCAATTGGCTGCCGCGTTCGCCCACAAATGTACAGTCAATTCACTTTACAGTGTGTTCTGTGAAGCGCTTTGGGACGTCCTCCCGACGTGAAAAGCGCTATATCAAATGCAAGGATTATTATTATTATTATTAAAACACTGAGTGGCTTCTCACGCACCCGGTTTTGGACGATCGTATGCGGGGGGCGGGGGGGGGGGGAGAGGTATAATAATATTGATCATTGCTGAGTATCAGGGGCTGAGCCTCAGGAGATAAGCCCTGACCAGGGCCTGGCCCCGACCTCACCCCCCAACTACAACACATCAATAGACATAGAGGAGAGGGCAACACACGTGGCAGCTATTGGGAGCGGCGGTAACTGTCCGCTTACACCCAAACACTAAACACGGCCGAGGCCGACCCCCCCCCACAGCACAGGTCGAACAAACTCACAACCGCGGCTTCACTCACCATCGCGCCCACTTCATAGCCACATCACACTTCCGGCCGACCCGGACGTGACGTCTCACGCTTCTCCGCCACTCTCCTGCCGCCCTCCCCGGGCCCCGCCGGAGGCCTCGTCCAATCACCGCTCCTCTCTCTCCCTCTCTCACAAACGCACGGCGCGGCCTTCACGTGAAACGCCAGGACAGCGCGGGTAGCCCAACATTGACATTTGGGCGGTTCACGCCCAGTTGGGCGGGTTTTGTTGTGCTACCCATCAGCGGGAAACGCGTCATATTGGGCTGGTATTTGGTGGACTTTGGGCTACGAACATATTTTTATGGCTGACCGCCCTGAGCGCGCTCCTGGTCCCTCCCCACCCCCTCTCTCTCGCTCTCTCTTAACCGTCACACGCACAGTGTTGACGCTCCGCACGGCTCGGGTTCGCGCGGGACGTCACGGGAGACCGCGAGGTGACGTGCGGCCGCCTTGCGAGCGCGCGATTGGCAGTTGGTTGAGGGAGAAGGCGGCGGTGGCGGCGACTGTGGAGAGCGGAAGAGAGACCCTCAGAGGAGAGTTGGCGGTAAATGTAACACTAACATCTCTCCCCACCACCACCACCCAAAATATACTGCCAATATCGAGCCACACCGGCGCCATAGCTAAAGCCTCGCTTTTGGAGGGGGTCAGAGGTCCTGACCATGTGTTGTCTGTCTGTCTGTCTGTCTGTCTGGGGGTGGGTGACCCTGACTGGGGTCTCCCCAGGTTTCAGGCCTCACAACAGCCCGGGGTGTCGGAAAAGGGCAGGAGAAGCCCATCGCCCTCCCGCTCAAGAATTTTTTTTTAAACCTTTGACCCTCGCTCTCTCCCCGCTCCTCCTGACTGCGGCCCCCGGCTCGGTGCGAACCCCTGACTGTCCAGCACCTCGGGAGATCCTCTCGTCGGTGCGAACCCCTGACTGTCCAGCACCTCGGGAGATCCTCTCGTCGGTGCGAACCCCTGACTGTCCAGCACCTCGGAGATCCTCTCGTGGGTGCGAACCCCTGAGTGTCCAGCACCTCGGGAGATCCTCTCGTCGGTGCGAACCCCTGACTGTCCAGCACCTCGGGAGATCCTCTCGTCGGTGCGAACCCCTGACTGTCCAGCACCTCGGGAGATCCTCTCGTCGGTGCGAACCCCTGACTGTCCAGCACCTCGGGAGATCCTCTCGTGGGTGCGAACCCCTGAGTGTCCAGCACCTCGGGAGATCCTCTCGTCGGTGCGAACCCTGACTGTCCAGCACCTCGGGAGATCCTCTCGTCGGTGCGAACCCCTGACTGTCCAGCACCTCGGGAGATCCTCTCGTCGGTGCGAACCCCCTGACTGTCCAGCACCTCGGGAGATCCTCTCGTCGGTGCGAACCCCCTGACTGTCCAGCACCTCGGGAGATCCTCTCGTCGGTGCGAACCCCTGACTGTCCAGCACCTCGGGAGATCCTCTCGTCGGTGCGAACCCCTGACTGTCCAGCACCTCGGGAGATCCTCTCGTCGGTGCGAACCCCTGACTGTCCAGCACCTCGGGAGATCCTCTCGTCGGTGCGAACCCCTGACTGTCCAGCACCTCGGGAGATCCTCTCGACGTGAAAGGCGCTCTAATAAATGCAATTTGTTGTTGTGCACTCCCATTTTGTTGCTTGAAGCTCAGCTGGCGCTCCCCAACGGGAGGTACCCTCCTTAGAGTAAGATGGGCAACTGAGGTCCCCTTTAACCTGTCTGTCTGTACAGCCGGATGTTAAAGATTCCTTGTATATTTTGGGGGAGCGGCACTACATTAAAATAGGGAGTTTTTTCTCCCAGTGTCCTGGCTGACAAGCCCCCAAAGCTTTAATTGGTCGTTCATTTCAATGCTGTTTCAATTCATTGCTATGCAAATTCGCTGCTTTGTTTGCTTAAGGAATACACAGTCATTTATGCTTTACAATATATCCTGTGACCTGCTTTGAGATGCTTTTTTTTCTTCAATGGCATGAAGTATATAAAAAGCCAGGGTTTTATTATTTATTATCACCTTACTCTTATCTCATACACTCCAGGATGCTTCTTTAACCAGAAATCCATCAACACATCCATTTATCTCCCAAGGCAATCTGTCGTGTTATATTCACTATTTCCTGGGTCAGGTAGTTAGACATAGCAGGGGTTTCTTTTTTTAAAATTGTATTTCCAAAAAGAATGCCTTAAGTTTACAGTTGCTGTTTTCTTGTCCCAGAAACCATGTCGCTGTCCATAAATTTCTAAAATACACACCAACACCAAAACACCACTTTTTGGCACTTATTGAAGGATCATACCTTGCATTATTACTCGCATTCATAGTCTGCTTATGCAAACTGAGATTAAAGTAGTTAATATTCACTACTAGAGTTTTGTTCATAGAATCAGAAATTTACAGGGACAGGAAGAGGCCATTCTACCCACTGAGTCTGCACTGACACTCAGAGCAAGTTGCACTTTCAATCCGACTGCCCTGACCTATCCCCATGTCCCTTTAAGGGTGTAATTTTCATGTACCTCTCTGCTTCCCTCTTGAAACCCATAATAAATTCTGCCTCTACACTTCATTTACAGTATAAAATTAAATGAAAACAATCACCTAAACTTCTCCTATCATGAAAGCAGTGGCTCTCATGCAGGTGTTTATATACCTGTCAGTAGCCTAAATCAGGGTGATCCAAGCTTTTGGTTGCCGCGAGCCGCATTCCCTATTTGAGAAAGGTCTGTGGACTGCATCCAAAGTGGGCCAGTTGGCGGTCCACGGGCCGCATCCGGCCTGAGACCATTTCCAACATTCCAACCCGCTCCCTCCTCCCTGGTGAACATCCTCCCAGGGCAGCTGCAGGAACCGGCAGTTGCGAGGATGCAGCGCGGAGAGCCTTTACTGCGGTCTATCGGTTGTGAGAGAGGGGGAGTGAGAGGGAGAGAGGGGGGAATAGGAGGGAGAGAGGGTGGAAAGAGGAGGGAATAGGGAGAGGGGGGGAATAGGAGGGAGAGAGGAGGGAATAAGGAGAGAGGGGGGAATGTGGGGGAGAGTGGGGGAATAGCAGGGAGAGAGAGGGGGGATAGGGGGAAGAGAGGGGGGAATAGGGGGAAGAGAGGAGGGAATGGGGGGAGAGAAGGGAAATAAGGGGAGAGGGGAATAGGGGGGAGAGGGGAAATGGGGGAGAGAGGGGACAATGGGCGGAAAGGAGGGGGAAAGAGGAGGGGGGAAGAAGGGGGTGGAAGGGGGATTGGGGAAGAGGAGGGGGGATTAGGGGAGAGAGGAGGGGGGAATAGGGGTTGAAAGTGGGGAGAGAGGAGGGGGAATAGGGGTTGAAAGTGGGGAATAGAGGGAGAGGAGGGGGAGAATGGGGGGGAGAGGAGGGGTGAATGGCGGGAGAGAGGAGGGGGAAGAGCTGGGGGAGAGGAGGGGGAAGAGCTGGGGGATAGAAGTGGGAAAGAGCTGGGTAGAGGAGAGGGGAAGAGAAATGGGGGAGAGGAGGGGGAAGAGCTGAGGAGAGATGGAGAGGAGGGGGAAAGAGATGGGGGAAAGAGATGGGGAGAGGAGGGGGGAAAGAAAGATTGTGGGAAAGAGAGATGGGGAGAGAGAGAAGGGGGAAAGAGATGGGGAGAGAGAGAAGGGGGAAAGAGAGATGGGGAGAGAGAGAAGGGGGAAAGAGAGATGGGGAGAGGGAGGAGGGGGAAAGAGGGGAGAATAGGGGGGAATAGGGAGGAGAGATCCCCTCTCAAACTCTCTCAATCACCCTCTCTCAGCCCTCCCCCTCTCTGTTTCTTCCTCTCCCCCCTCCTCGCTCTCCCCCTCTCCTCTCTCTCTGCCCCCCCCTCTCTCCCCCCCCTTCTCTCTTTCCCCCTCTCTCTCCCTACCCTCCTCCTCTCTGCCAACCCTCCTCCTCTCTGCCAACCCTCTCTCTCCACTCCTCTCTCACCCCCTCCTCCTCTCTCTCTCCCCCACCCCTCCTATCTCACCCCCTCCTCCTCCTCTCTCTCTCCTCTCTCTACCTCTCCTGTCTCCCCACTCCTGTCTCTCCCCACTCCTCTCTCTCCCCACTCCTCTCTCTCCCCACTCCTCTCTCTCCCCACTCCTCCTCCCTCTCCCCACTCCTCTCTCACCTCCTCCTCTCAACCCCGTCCCCTCTCTTCGCCGCTTGCCTCTCTCCCCCCTTCCCACTCCTCTCTCCCCCCCTCCTCCTCTCTCCCCTCTCCCCTCCTCATTCGCCCCCCCCTCATTCGCCCACCCCCCCCGACTCCCCCGCCCTTCATTCCCCTTCCCTAACTCCCCGTTATGATGAACATTTATAAAACACTGGTTAGGCCTCAGCTAGAGTACTGTGTTCAGTTTTTCTCACTCCACCCCTCTCTCCACTCCCCCCCTCTCCCCCCCGTCTCCGTCTCCCCCTGTCTCCGTCTCCCCCCGTCTCTGTCTCCTCTCTCCCCCCTCTCTCTCCCCCCCTTTCTCTTCCTACCCTTTCGCTCTCCCCTCCCTCTCCCCCCTCTCTTTCTCTTCCCCCCATCTCTCTCCCAAGCATGTGGGTGGGAGGGGGGGGCGTGGAGGGAGAGATAACAGTCAAAGAATAACGATTGGAAGGAGGAATAGTGGATGATTCCCCCCACCCCCCCATTAAAGTGCTCCCACTACTGTTGTAGCCCTAAATTGGGACTTTGAGTTTATAATCTCAGAACACCTCAGAGTATTTCACAGGATTTTACTGTGAAGTAAAGTGACTGTATTTGTAGGCAAATGTGGCACCTAATTTGTGCACAACAATATCCCCCAAAGAACCATGGTTTGAATGACCAATTTTATTTAGGTGTTTCTTTTTCTTCATATATACAGTGTTTTGACAGTTTGTTTGGGAATAAAATTACTAATGATGCAGATAAATATAAGCTTGATAAGTATTGAAATTATATCAATTTTTCACAAATTGGACAATTGCATAATTAGATCAGATTTCTGTGCAATTCATCATGCATATGTTGGAATTTTTAACTGGGTTTAAGTAATGTCCTTATTGGTTTTGTGGCCTAAAGTTCCAAATCCATTGGTATAATTTTTTTGTTCAATAATAATGCATTTTGCATGGATTTGGTGCCAATTTGGTAAAAAAATAGAATTAGTCACTACTTCTTGCCATTTTTGAAAGATTTTACTGTTACTGGAGCTATACAGTAAATCAAAATTAAATTTGCTTTAATGTATAATACATTGTGATTATGGCTTAATTTTTATGTTTTCGGACATTTATTTTTTAACAAAAGGCCAAAAGGTTGGTTTAAAAAGTCATAAAGCAAAGAGCCAGAAGCAAAACAGCCTTTGCGGGGAACATGATTTTTGCCAATATACATTCCCCCTCCAATTTTCTTCAGCTAATTTTCTGGAAGATCTAGAATTTAATTTGCAGAATGAGGAATCGACTAGCACAGTAAATTCTGCTTTACGAGTACACTGTTTTCAAACCCATTATGGATATTTTAAATATGAGAATATAAAAATAATGAATAAATGTACTTCCCATGACAAATTGCAAAAATCTTGGTTTACTTTTGA